CCCATCCATCGGGCCCATCGAGGGTGATCCTTGATTCGTCTGTAAAAAGCACTTTACTGAAATCAGTTTTCATGTATTTTTTTTTTGCCCACTGCAATCTTCTTTCCGATTGTTTTTTGTTAAAATAGGTTTCTTTATTTGATTTTTTTACATCAGCAAACTTCCTTAATGCTTTACACCTTGTTTCCCTTGACACCATAGGAGCTCCAGCGGCCTCAAATATGAACGCACTTGACGCATTTGAGTTTCTTATTAATTCTCTTCGGATATGTGATAGATCTCGCTTTGTTAAATTCCTGAATTCAGCCTGAGAATTTTTTTTCCTTGGTTGAATTCCCATTTGCCATATTTTATTGATTGTTCGATGATCCCTTTTCAAATCCTTAGAAATTTGAAGCGAAGACTTTCCTTTGCTAATTTCTTTAATTATATAGTTCTTTTTATTCATTGGTAGTTCTTTTTTACGAGCCATAATACTAAATTCTAGTTCTTGCAAATAATCTCTTGACACTGCAAATTGTTATAATTACTGAAAAAATACTAAATATCAACCTGAAATTGAAAATTAGGACTTAATTGCTTTCATGCTTACTCGCTATACATAATATTACAAATTGTTTCATTGGATAACACATATCTATGAATTTTACATAAAATATTTGACAATACCTCTTTTGCATATAATCTCTAGACGCAGTTTATATATATATATATATACATGAAGAAAAATATACAGAAAAAACAACCAAAAATCTTAATATGCAATTATGTTGTATTAATGTTAATATAAAGTCAACGTCGGACGTTTCGCTCTATTTTAGACCATCTTCAGGACATTTTCATTTAAGCACAATTAACATTAGAACATATAAAAATTCAAATGAAGTTTTTGCTGATTTTTTTAAACTTATTTTTGGCCCAACTGTTTAGTTACTAAAAGCATAAGTATACAAGAAGCAACTTGTATTGACAAGTAGATTGTTGAATGATTCCATTATTATTTTATTACATAACTAATATTTTATTTCTCATTTCAGAGCCCTAAAATGACTGATAAAAAATTGGTAATTCCTAATAATGTTGTATGAGTTTAAACATGGTACAAGTGCATAATCTGCTTCTCGTAAGCTATGTACAGCCTTTGTCAAGGTGCAGTATGTAAACGAACTGCACGTAATTGGTTTCAGAAGTTTCGTTGTGGCAATGAAACCCTCGAAGACGATCCTCGAGCTGGACGACTAGTATCCCTAAACAATGAGGATTTAAAGGCAGCCATAGAATCTGATTCAGGTTTAACATGTCATGAACTAGCTTCGAGGTTTAATGTAAGCGATGAAACTATAAGACTGCATTTGCACTAGCTGGGGAAGAAATGGAAATAAGGCAAATAGGTATCATATGACTGATGTAATGAATATGCATACACCTGGGTTTCCCCTCCCAGCAATATGTTTGTCTGGTGTCAGCCATAAATACAGACTGATGTGGAGGTACAGGGACGACACCTATTGACGACCCCTATAGTCTTCGCTTATTGCCTACGCCTATTGCCTACGCCTATTGCCTACGCCTATTGCCTACCACTACGACGAGGACCAGTCCATGCTAGATTGTCCTACAGGGGGCTGATACTATTTTTCAGTCACTTTTTTTCAAGTTTTAGGTAGCACAGGCAGTCTGTATTGTTTTAGTGTAATGGCAATAACATTTAAAAACTGTTTCAATACTACAAATGGAAAGTTGAAGTAAAAATAAAGAAAACATGAAACCAAAGACAAACCCATCAATCAATGTTCATACCATTAATGGACAGTTACTGCTGAACTATCTACTCATCAACACAAAAGCTCTCGACAGCAAAAAAACACATTTAAGCAGACTTTTCAAAGTGTCCCAAAAATAGTGTCGGACCCCTGTACCCGGTCTCAGTAGTGAACAACTACTTTGCTACTTCGAACAAATATATCCCTTTCCGGGAAATATCAATGACTTAACACCAGCAATCAAACTGCAGAGGCTTACCATATGCTCTACTCATCGCAGTAGACTTATAAAAGAACCCATTTTTGATCGAATTATGACATGTGATGAAAATGGATCATGTATACAAACTCTAAGAGGAAACATTATTGGTTATCGCCGGGTGATCCTTTGCCACAAACTTTAAAGGCACCACTATTCCAAAAATAAATTTTGCTGTGTGTTTGATGTACATGTCAAGGAATAATTCATTATGAGTTTTTAAAAACAGGTGAAACCGTTACTGCTAACAAATATTGCGAGCAATTTGAACGACTTCAGAAAAAATTGTTGAAGAAACAGACTGCATTAGTAAACAGAAAACAAGTTTTTTTCTCCAGGACAATGCTCACCCACCCGTTGCAAAAATGACCCTTGCCAAGATAGCAGAGCTATGGGAGATTATGCTTCATCCACCATATTCACCAGACCTTTCCCCAACAGATTTTTACTTGTTTTTAGGCTTAGATAATCATATGAA